AGCTGGAACCCTAACAGGTGCTGGCACCCCGAGTCAAGTTGCACCTTTGAAAAACAGCAACTAGGTGTTTCCAGGCACCCGGAAAACTCCCGATCAGAGGTCTGAATAAAGTAACGGGTGATGCAAAAATAGGTATACAGTAATGAAAAACAAATCTTATTGTATTTTTTTTTTTTTATCAAATCACCCCAAGCAAGGCGGGTGTGCCACTAGCACGAAACGGGTTACAGAGAATGAGAGCAAGAGTAAAGAAGGGTGTTTGGGAAAATCATAAAGAGAAGGACGGGGGATCAAGATCAAAGATTCAGAAGATGTCGATTGACATTACGTTTGAAGATTATTCCGCTGACGAGAAGTGCGAGATAAGAAGTGGTTGGAGCAGAAGAGATAGACATATTTAACTGTTTCGAAAGCGAAAGGGTGGGACCGAGATGCCAACCAAGTAGCACGCTTAAATTCATGCAGTTTGGGAAGCAGGGAAAGTAGCTTGTCAAAGTAACTGCTATGAAAATACTTGTAGAAAAGACAGAGGGAAGCCACAGTAAATCTGCGAGATAGCGAATGCAGACGGGATGCCAGATCAGGACCAATCACGTTGCATATCCTTCTATTTTGTCGAGGACCTCGAGAAGAACGGGGAGAGCACCAGACTATATATGAAAAAAAATATGAGTATAAAACAGTATATATATATATATATATATATATATATATATATATATATATATATATATATATATAAAGAATATCAATATCAGTATAAAACAATATATATTAATATATATATATATATATATATATATATATATATATATATATGAGTATAAAGTATATCAATATCAGTATAAAACAATATATATTAATATATATATATATATATATCAATGTATATATATATATATATATATATATATATATCAATATGAGTATAAAGCATATCAATATGAGTATAAACAAGATATCATATATATATATATATCAATATATATATATATATATATATCCATATGACTATAAAACATCAATATGAGTATAAAACAATGTATATCAATATATATATATATATATATATATATATATATATATATATATCAATATATATCTGCATATATATATCAATATGAGTATAAAACATATCAATATAAGTATGAAACGATATATATATATGTCAATATGAGTAGAAAATCGATATCGATATGAGTAGAAAAAACAATATATATCAATATAAATATATATATGTACATATATATATATATCAATATATATATATATATATATATATCAATATGAGTATAAAACATCAATATGAGTATAAAACAATATATATCAATATATATATATGTAAATCAATATATATATACATATATATATATATATACATTTGTATATATATATCAATATGAGTCTAAAACATATCAATATGTGTATTAAACAATATATATATATATGTCAATATGATTAGAAAGCATATCGATATGAGATAAAATATATATATATATATATATATATATCAAGATGCGTAGAAAATATTAATGTGCATTAAATATATATATATTAATATGAGTAGAAAACATATCAATGAGTATAAAAGAAGATATATATATATATATATATATATATATATATATATAAATATAAAAGTGAATCAGCCTGTCGCCTCTAAGTGTTGACTTTATGTTCACTTTTATATTTACACACGCTCTCTCTCTGATATTGAGCACTTTATCCCATAAATATAGCACATTTTAAGACTATAATTCTTTATATATATATATATATATATATATATATATATATATATTATATATATATATATGAGTAGTAGAAAACATATCAATATTAAGTATTCAAACAGCACATTTTCTTTGATATTTTAAGCGTAATTTAGATGTGGCACAAGGCCTAAAGTATGGTGCATCTAGTGTGGATCGAACTCATAATTGGTCTTGTGAGACAAGCGTGTTAAAAATTAGACCACTTTTCTTTGATGCATGTGTTATTTAATGTAACAGAGAGTGACAGTTGCGTTTTTTTAAATCCCTTTTACTTGGTTTTGGACCAAACGCTTTTTTAATGGAAATCCGAGAATAAACAATCCGCTGTTTATTTGAGAGGAAGAGTGTTTCCAATCATTCCATCGGTTATCATCAGGAAGAAGGCTTAGAAAGATCTAAATTGCAGATGTTTGTTTAATCCGCAGAAAATATTCTATGAATTAATCGGTTTAAATTTGAAATTACAGTCTAGTCTCTCTTTCGTGCAGTCTCCGAGGATAATCCTCGCGCATACATTAGGTTGAGTCATAAATAATGTCCATTTCGGGGAAACCAATTGTAATGGCCGCTGTATCACCCTCACTACCAAACATACGTAGTTAAGATTACATTTTTTAGTACGCTAGCTTAGTATATGACAATATTCAACACATAAAGCAGATTGATAATCATAATTCATTATAAACGAACGCAAATTGACAACCATTGAAGAAAAGTAATATCAT